TATATCCATCACGGCGGAGAACGCGAGACGTCATTACCATTTTCGGTCGGTTCTAGTTCGGTTGGAAACCGAAATGATTCCCGGAAGTAACGCGCGTCGACGGACAGATAAACTTTCCCTTCAATTCGAATCCAATCAGCGGATCCTCTCCGTCGACGAGGAGGATCGCGTAGGAAAAGGCGAGAGGAAATTCCCGGCTGGCCGACAGGATATTATTCATATGCTGGCGTCGCGTGGCCTCGTCGCAAACGCAAAGGCAATATAACTCTTTTTTCCTCTTTTTTTTTTTTTTTCTCGTTACCAACTCTATATTCCTGGCTTCGTTCGAGCCTATAACCCGTTCCTACGGATCGACGCCCGTCTCTTGTGACCAGCCTTTTATTAGGAAACATTGGGAAGCTCCTGCTTTGGTTATAATGAAGTTCTCACCAAGTGAAAATCGAAATCAAGTGACTGAAAATTGAGGTTGGGGTGAACTTTCGTGGTTCAGAGAGGGAATTCTCATTCGAACTTATGAGGGACTAATGTTCTATACAGAACGTTTCAAAAGTAGATTCACACTTTTGTAGACGGGGTATTTTGAAAATACAGTGTTTGAGAATCCGCTCAATCATGATGGCGCTCACGGTCGATCGATTTATCGATCGGGAGTCGCCCATCTAGGTCAATGCGTGAGCAGGGGTCTTCTCGCCGGCTCGCGCGCAACGACGCCATTATCGATCAACGCATTAAATAGATCACCACGTGCTCAAAAGGAAAGTTCAGTGCAGTTCATTTTAAGCGTTTCTCAACCCCGTGTTCACAACCGAATCTTTGTTCACGATCTTCCGCAGCTGTGCACGTGATCAGGATCACCAGGTAATGTTCTTTATACACTAATTCAAAGCACACGTGCGATGCCGACCACGTGTTAATCCAGCACATGTTCACGGGCACCATCAAAGAGCGGGCTGAATTTATAAAATTAACGGGGCTTATTGTTCATAACCACAGATCAAAACCAAATTGTTAAATTCCACGGATCACGGTAACTGCTCATCTCTCTACTTGTGTTTGTGTGTTCAGTGAACTGATTGTCAGATCAGAGTGTTCAACCATTGTTTTATTCTTGACTCAAATAAATCAATTTGTAGAAACCCATCCAGCAAGTGTAAAATTATTTCCGGCGCAATCCTTCCGGGATCGACACCAATCCCGAACATACAGAAACATTTTTTATTATATAATGTTCACTGTTAATAAATGTTTCATAAATCTCGAAAGTAAAATTACATTACATTTTGAGAACGTTAATAAAAACAGACTGATGAGTAATAAAACATTGTTGCAACTGAAATATTGAAAAAATGCCAAAATAAAATGGAGAAATGAGATGAAATGTTTGTCGTCCCGCACTGAATAAATGATTAACGGTACGAAATGTGCACGTCATGATTTATCGACGTGATGAAAAAGCGACCGTTGCATAAAATTCTAAAATTGCTGATTTCGTTGTTCTTTGGCATATTTCGAATGAGATTGATACCTTTATAAACTTCCACAACGTTTTCCAAATTAAAACGAGAAAAAACCTAACCTAATTCAAATAAAATGAAACTACTAATTGATTAATACTATCAAGATCCATCGAGTTAATTGAGAAGAAATTCATTCGCAACAATCGTGTCCATTCGATTATACAACATTGGGTTGGAGGGAGTTAAAGACAGGGCTAAAGTGTAACGTAATCTCGGCACCTGAGCATCGCGACGCCTCGTTAACGACGCTACGGGATAATCGATATCTACCTATGGGGTGCTGGTACATAGTGCCCATCGGATCGTGGCCAGAGCTTTCGTGGCTGCGTTTGAGATACACCGAAACCCCTCTACCAAAACCTTCAATTGATTTCAACGTACAATGCTCTGCTTTGCCGTATTTCAATCGTGTTTTAGAATGCACCGGTTGTACCACAATTGTAATCAACATGTTTGTAAATGATTACATATGTAGATTCCCTGGTTGCAAATTACAACGACAAACAATGTTTACGTTTGTTCAGGCGAGGCTAACATTTATTTGTATAAAATAATTGTATTTTGTTGTTTGGCGATACACGAGCTGGATAGTTAAAAAAGATAACCAATCAAATTGAACATAATCTAAAAATTCAAAGTTGATTTCTTTTTGTTCTACTATAGTAAAAAGGCTTATCAGTGCTATGATTCATAAATCAATTGTTCTTTTAGAAAAATATCATAAAAATTTCTCGTTAGTTAACAAATTAATATTGGTACTCCTGTTATTTACGAGGAAATGATTAGCCAGAAAGTGTCGTTTTTCCGTCACCATTAACTTCCAGTCGGCTTGATTGTTTCTGATAACGACACTGATGCTTTGGCGTCGGGGTGCGTAATACACAGTACCCGAGCGTCGATTAATGGTTACCGATAATCCAACGTAATGACGAGCGATTGAGGCTTCAGCTTCGTAATAATTATTTATCGATTAAAAAGTACCGTGGCCACTATGCTGGTATTTACGCAACGTTAGATTCAATTTGTTTTCCGACCTTCGTTCGACCAATACAACTCATTCGTGCCGCCATTATGTGTCCTGCCCACCATTTTATTTTTGATTTGGACTGATTGTAATTACGTTCAAATAGTATACTTTTCTTTCAGCTGAATCAATTTGTTACGCATAGGCTTTAATTAATATTATTAATATAGTTATAATTAGATATGTATGAAATAACTATATACATAAAAGTGAGGTTAGATTACGTATATACAGGTTTGAAAGTTAGCGTATAGTTTGTTCAGCACTATTGGTTCGATATCAGATTTTAATACAGCGAAAGTTTCGGAAACTCGACGATTTGTTACGTTGCTCGATAATTGATTGTGCCCGGGCTGAGAGTTAATTAGAATTCGCGCAGAATCGAAGCGGAAATGTTTAGAAAATTCACCGTGAACGGGGAATTGCACTGAAATTCCGGCAAGCAATTTTGTAGTTTAATTTTAATCGTAATGAAGTTTCTATAGAAGCATGGCTGTAAGTTGAACCAGGATAAGTAACTTTGATTCTGTTTTTAACTACCGTTGAGGGTTTTCCAGCAAATCGATAATAGAGCTTTAATTAACGAAAAACCTTGAAAATAGTATTTGTCCTCTTGTTGTCAAGGACTTAGAGCATATTGAGGTTATGTTTTTCGAAGCACCCTATACCCCCCCCCCCGAGTAGGGATATAGCGTAAGTCTTTAAACAGAGTGGTTCAAATCATTCTAACCTGAAAAAAAATTGATAAAATCATATTCTGTTTAAAGGAAATATGACTATACCAATTAAAAAAGGACAAGAAGTGAAGAGGCTATCCTGATGAGGTTACTAAACACTGAATTAGCGTTGAATCTCATTTGCCTGACTTCTTCTCATCACTTTTCATCGTCGAATCAAAGAATCTTAATGTCGATTGGCCCATTTGCCAGCTTCAGCGTCGTTTGGACAGTTCAGTTCGCAAAAGGACATTCCTCTCACAACGTCCTCTTTGCCTTCACGCCAGGGCAGCATCCTCGAAAAGAGTAGCACCCTGATTGGAAGGCTAATCACGGGCTACTCTCCATTACATTAATTAAAACTTAACTCTCAACTTTGCCAGGATACCCACGGCTATCTTGTCCTCCTTCAACTTTTCCCCGTTCGCTTCTCCGTTTTGTCTCCACTCCTTTCTACACGCTTGCTCGTCAATTTTCTTCTCTCATTTGCATGTCAATGATGCCGAGGCAAGCTGACGAAGTAGCATCAGCGAGATTCGATTGGGTTTGTTACTGATTGATGTGATACCTCGATCTTTTGAATTTTCAAGTGATTTCTCACACGCCCAAAGCGTCCCAATTTCAAATTACTAACTTTATAAATTTCTTTAGATACCAGCTTAATCAAGTTATCAAAATTTTTACCCTTGAGATTTCGAAACTTCTAAGCTCTCCAAGTTTGAAACTTTGCAAACTTTGTCATTTTCAAGAAATGAAGAGAATTTTCGCGTACAGGAAACGACCGTTTTGGCATGCTTTTATGGTTTCATCTGGCCGGTTGATCTTTCATCGTTGAACGCCATCCATTGTAAAATGGCGGGGAGCGACGATACTGACAAAATAGAATTTTCGTAAAGCACACGAAATGATCCTCTAACGTCTTCTCATTCTTCTTCAGCGTGGATATTAAGGTCACTACCGAGGAATATAAGAATCTCACCGAGCGAAAGATAAAACGAAACGGAATAAAGGATCCTCATCTCGCTCGTTTCTTATCGTTCGCTGCGCTACTTTGCTCGACTTTCATCCCGCGACTGAATGTCTTATGAACGCTGACAAATAAACGAAATTCTGATAAATAATTTCGTTTGATACATTTTAAAGACTTCCATAAAGACCTCTTTCCTCGTAAACGTTCCACGACACTTTTCTGACGCTCTTCCTGCTTTATAAATGACTTAAAAATCGACCAACTAGAAGAATCTTTCGTTTAAAAAATTCAGTAATCAAGGACTATTAATTTCTAAATCTACCATCCTTGAAAGAAAAGACGTTTTCAATCCCCTCCCTTAAAAAAAGAAGCTTCTCCTTTCACCCCAAATATTTTAAATTCCCTGCTAAAGAGATATCAGTATCCATCATAACATTACAAGCAACGGAACATACGCACCCCTCTCGAGGATCGTTTCTGAATCTCGAAACTTCATCCCCCCTCCCCCTCCCCCTTCGCTTTAGGAAACGTTTTATACACCCCTTTCACTGACACGCCTAGCCCCGAGGTGCTTTGTCACAGAGGGTCGAAAGCATCGAAGGGTGCAGTTAATTAATAAAAGCTCAAACTCGAAACCAGAGTCGAGGTATGAAGGAGGCAAGGGGTGGGGGGATGGCGGCGCGGATAAAAGGATGAAATACGATCCATGCATCGTTTCATATCGACGGGACCGGCGATATACATATCTCACTTGCAATTCAAACGAGACTCACGTGTCATGAATGAGGAACTTGTCGTCTTTGGTCTCGATGCAGCGGCCCTTGCTGGTCATCATGGATCCGTTCACTGTCACCAACCCCTGATTCCCCGATTGAAACCAGTGGCCGTTCCATTGCGCCGGAAACTCACAGCCTGCAACACACCGACCCCCGTAGAAGGGGGGAGGGTTTTACATTTTTTTCATCTGGCCAAAGGTTGCTGGATAAATAAAGGCATGATATATATATATACATATATGACCCGAGATACAGAATATTCAAACCGAACGGGGTGGTTTGTGTAAACAAGGATCGATTGGTTCTTTTTTTTTTTAGAGTTAGAGAGAATTTTCGATGCTGTGATAGGATTTGGGTATTGTTTCATCAGTTTTTGGCACTTTGGTATGGTTGTTGAGGTTAGGTTACTTATCCTCTCCAGTGCAAATGAAGGATGTTGATATTTCCCTGTATCAATAAATATAACAATATTCTTTATTAGGTTTGTGTAGTGTTCTGTTAGGGTTTTAGGAAAAAATCTAACCTATTCACAGATATTTCCCAACATATGTTACCTCACCACCCTCATACATCCTGCCGTGCAGCTGGATCCCTATTAGACCCTCATTTGAACCTACTAACCTGTTAACGTCCCTGTAACCCAGTTCGAAGGATCGAATCTCCAAAAATCTTGCGAGGTGCAGTCGTAAATCGCGCGGAAACGAGCTGTTCCGCTCGAGGAACCGCGCGTTCATCCATTCACCTCGAACAAGGGTGGGACGAGGTAGGGGATGAGGGACGCAAATCATCTTAATGCACGCGCGCCACGGCAATAATATTCCCTCCATCTGGTTCGCAATAACCCCCTGAAGTAACGGTGGAAAACAAAAATACAACTAGCCGGGAGGATGGATTATACTCGCGAGGAGATTCCATCCAGGATTCCCGAATACCTGGACTTATTAAATGCAAAATGCTCCGTCGACAAACAATGCTTAATCGCGACTCGTCACTTCCTAGTAATCCCAGGTTTCTACAAAAGAGGATGGGTTGAACCTCCTTCAACTGATAATCCGATCTTCTTAAGAAGATTCTGCGTTTTTACAGGTCTGCGGTAGAAATTTAATTTATTTTATGTAGTTGGACCATCTTCGTCAGTTCAGGAAAGTACCACATTCTTGGAAGGTTATTGTCATGCGCTAAAAACTCGAACCTAACCTCAAAGTCAGACGTAACCTCAATTACAGTCCTCGACAAAAAGACAGTACACTTTGCAAACGTAATGACTGTACAATTTATCAGCTTATGATCTTTATATTTTGTGTACAGTACGTTTGCCAAACTAGTTAGGATACATAATTATAGTGTGGTTAGTTTTTAGAGGCAGCCACCGCTCCACGAATGTTCGGCTACACCCATTCCAGTTAATATTCCTAGAATCCCGGGATTTCTGTAGCTTTCGTCGTTGCTCGAACTGAAGCAAAGCCTGCAAACTCGCTCCAATTGTTTAAAAGGACGAGAGGAAACGGCTGTTCCGGGTTCAGCGAACCGTGCCATGCTTTCGTCGACCATTATCGTCATCGTTTTATAATGTCGCGGTCTTACGACGTGTATTTTCTTGAGAGCTCGTGACTCGATTTTCTTGTTCCTTGGATGAGGACGTTTATGGGCTTTCCTCAGGTTTTTTTCTTTCTTAATCTTTGGACGATGTACATGTTTGTCGCTTTTTGAACTCGTTTCGCGGTGAATGTACTAAATTAGTGTTTCTTGTGGATTAAAAAGGGTGAAGGGGATAATTTTTATACACGATGGAGTTTAATGATTTGAGATAGAATCTGTTGTGGTAAATGTTCAGTGAAAGAAAATGGTATTAAGCAGTTTCTTTCATCCCTTAATCTCTCCAAATAAAGATCCCCATCAAGACAGAACAAAGAAAGCTATCATCTTACGAAGTAGCCCTAACTACCCCTCGTTGTGTATGATATTATCCAGCCTCGACAGTGCTGGCAAGAAAAGTGGCGAGAAAAGGGGGGCAAGGAGGGATGGAAAGTAGCCAGTCGCGATATAATTAGCAGAAATTGGAGTTAGGTCAGAAAGCAGAAGTTATCGGGGTGAGTTTCGACATCGTAGCCTGGTGGCTTGACTTTTTCGCCCCTGCTGATATAATTACTAATTAATTACTGTACCTCGAAGCCGCTGGCCATTTCGGTAGGAGGTAGCTTAAAAGGACACCGGTAGGTAAGGATAATTTCTCCTACCGTAGGGGAAAGTAATACTTTCTGTTTTAATAACGTTGCTCATGCCTAGTGTTCATACCCTACGACAGTTGGGGTAACTTTTCGTGTACGTTCTAGAATTTTGTTGAGGATAGAAAACTATGTACGTGATGCTTGGTGCTGTTCTAGGGTGATCATAAATAATTTAGTTAAAAAATTCTTCATTCTCACTAATGAGTTTGGGCTACTTTCTACAAAAGAAGAATAAAGTTATACTATTTATATAATAAAGAAATATAACGAAGAAACAATAATCACCTTTCCGTCTGCGGGGTCAATTTCCAGAAAATAACGGGGCTATCACGTGTCAAAAATTACTAACATGCTTGCAACATCTTCCAGGAACATCCCCTAATACAAAACTTCCCCTCAGCGAATAAAACGCTGAATCGCACGCATCGTCTACAATTTTACGAGTCCTCGGGGTCTCGTAATTACAAGACGGTCTACGTGTATTCGCTTGAATAAAGGTTAGTTGGTTTTAAAAACTGTACAGCACGCATTGTCCCTGCGTGTGTCGTGACCTTTGCCATAAAGATCACAGAAACGATTTTGGGAAAATGAGAAGGAATTGAAAGGAAGTGGTGAGGAAATGCTTGGAGATAGGGGAGAAACTTTCAAGTGAATTACTTCTGAAGCAATCAGCTTGATGAAGATCTTTAGACAGTAATTATTTAGACTGATACTAACTCAAGTGCCAATAATGACTTGAGTACTAGTACTAACTCAAGTAGCAACAATTGCTCAAGAATACTTAAGCAATAAATAAAAATATGAAATCCATTTCAGAATAACTTCTGCTACCTTCAAAACTTCCCCAGGGCAAACAATAAAGGGACCTAGAAAATCGCTTCACAGATATTCCGCGCAAACGAGCGTCAATTACCTATCAAAAGTGGCCCCATTCCTCGGACGATATCGCAGCCGGTATTCACGGACAGGTTTGTGTATCGCGAGATCTGAATCTCGTACGACACATTCGCCGCTATTCCAGACCCTTGTTGATTCGTGCAGCCCTCTGCGCGACTGTGTAATATCATCTGATCCCGAGTGCCCGGTTACGGTACCTACCGGTGTAATATTCATTTCCTCCAGTAAAAGCCCTTTCAGCGGCTCTTTCGGCCTCGGATATCGGAAAAACGAGGCATTTCCGTTGGTAAATGTCACGGAGATAGCCTGACGGCCGGTGGCCACATATTACCAATCAATTTACCTCTGTCGATACTCAGAGTCGACATAGAAAGGGAAAAAGAGAGGACAGCATGAAACCAACTGGCAGGCTGGTAGGCAAAAAAGTAGTGGACATGTGTGTGTGTATGGAAAAGTGATCGCTCCATCATATTTAACTCGGATAGCCAATCACCCTTGTCACTGGTCGGGTGATAGATTATTTTAATCAAGTTATTCCACGCTGAAACCCGATCATTTTCCGAGAAGAGCCAGCCTGGACCCAAGATATACATGAAAATCGAATTAAATCGAGGGAACTCGATGGAGCAGCCTTCGCTCGGAAATCATCGGTGCATGTTCCAAGGTCTTTTTTTTTTTTCGATAGGACCAGCGAGATTGGTAATCTCCAGGCAGACTCTTCCAGACGGCCTGGGATACTCCCTCTCTTTCGATAATCCATTTTTTAATGGCGATGACGAGCGATTAATTCGTCTGGTCCAAATCCATCTTTCCATCGCGGTCCATGGATTGATTTAAGGGGTGGTGGAGTTTTAATATTCTACGGGGATGTTGGGAAAATCGACGCTGAACGGAAAAAGATTTCGGTCGGGATCGATCGGAGAGATTCGATACCTTGAAGTGTCTTCGTGGTCTTAATTGGATTTATATAGTTAGCGAACTGAGCTTGGATTACGATTCAGAAAAACTTAGGAAAGACGTGTTTGGTTATGGCAACAAAATGGCTGAATTCAAATTCAGCTTTAGGTTAGGTTGAATCTTAACCTAAAAAATCGCAACAAAAACCTCTATTGGTTCATTTAGAAGAGGTGATCCTATTTTGAATCTTCAAGAACGTATCAAACGTCTTAAAATTACCTATCCTTTGTTTAAGTTTATGAAGATTAGATTGAGGTTAGGTTTGGATTAAACAGTTCCTCTGCTTTACGACAAGCTATCGCTACCCGCGATCAATTTTCCTACTGAAATCTTGCTTCAATTCAAAGGAATTTAGGTTTCGGTTAGATTTAGGTTAGGTACTCTATAGCCATCGTTGCTCGACGCTCGATTCTCATGCTGAAGACTTGCTTCAACTTACGGGGGTGAATTCTGAGCTGCACTTGGCCTGGCTGAACTTACAATTAGCTAATGATCCCGCTCGCCATTCATCACCCTCGAAAGCGTGCACTTTCAGATGCAGGGGAGACTCTTTTCCCAATGGAGGAATTGGTTCGGTTTTTTTTTTGTTCTGTCTTCCTTTTTTTGCACTATGAAACTGTAATGGAATGTAGGTCGTGATGTTTTCGTTCCTGGATGATGGAATGGTTCGCGGGGATTGTCCATGGCATCGCGTGTTAATTTGTCAGAATTTTTTGTCTGTTTTTTACCCAAAAAGGTACAGAAGCATGTTGTATTTTTTTTTAATAGCATGCGAATGGGTCAACATGTATGGGAATCCTTTTCAATTTGTTTTGAAAGGGTACAGTGCGTGCTTTTTTTAATAGTCCCTGCAACATGGGGAAGCTTTTGTTTTTTCTTCAGCAAACCACTGTTAGTATATTGTACAGAGTGTTTCATAGATAATTTTTATTGTTTTTTATAGCTATAGAAATTGCTTCTTTTTCGATTTTAGTAGTTGCGCCTGGATATTTCTAAATGAAACTTGTTTTGACGTTTTATCGAGTAACTTTTATGAAATGAATGTTCCAACATG